TTTTGCTAGTCTCTATGCAAATGTATGGGTCTCTTTGGAAACCTATGGGTTTCTATGCAAGTCTGTTGGTTTCTATGCAAGTCTACGTGTCTTTGGAAACCTATGGGTTTCTATGCAAGTCTGTTGGTTTCTATGCAAGTCTACGTGTCTTTGGAAACCTATGGGTTTCTATGCAAGTCTGTTGGTTTCTATGCAAGTCTACGTGTCTCTATGCGAACATATGGGATGTCACTCTCTACATAAGTCCTCGGCATCTCGGTGGCACAGCGCGGCGGGCGGCGGCGGTGGCCACCTGGGTGCGGTTGCACCGCCTGCACACTCAGTCGCCGGCCCCGCCGGCGCCGCTGGGTCCCTGACCCTCGCCCGCTAGGCAGCGGCGGCGGCAGCAGCGTTGGCGTTGAGCTGGGGCGGCTGGCTGGGCACGAGTTCGTCTCTCCGTTGGCACTTGGGTCCAGGAGCGTTGCGAAATGCTGTAAGTCACACCTACACTGCCACCGCGTGACCCGGTTGCTGGCTTGTTGTTTCTCGTTCAGCACAGTTTCTGGGACTCTGGCCAAATAGTTCCTTGCCTGGTGCACAGGAAGTCGTGATGGGTTCGATCTCGACCCTGACGCCTGCTGCTGCTGTATATTTGGAGTTTGCGTGTCTCTCTCTCTCTCATCATCATCACGGTGGCTAGGAGATGTTAACTACCTCGCCTGGTACACAGGAAGTCGTGGGTTTGATCTCGACCCTGACGCCTGCTGCTGCTGTATATTGGAGTTTGCGTGTCTCTCTCTCTCATCATCATCACAGTGGCTAGGAGATGTTAACTACCTCGCCTGGTACACAGGAAGTCGTGGGTTCGATCTCGACCCTGACGCCTGCTGCTGTATGTTTGGAGTTTGCGTCTCTCTCTCCCCATGAGCGTGTGTTTTTTTCTCTCCGGGTCCTCCGGTTTTTCCCCTCCACATTTAGAGTCGACGTGCGGTTAGTGAATTTGGCTCTCTGTAATTTTCCACATGGTGATAAGCCACTTCGTTGAGCTATCATTAGTGGCCAGGTCGCTTCTGAAAAAAGAGCTGCTTGGCTCAGGGTGGCCGCATCTGGTAAAATAAAAAAAAGTTTTAGTTTCCAAAACGCCAAGCGGCCAGCAACGAACTGCTCTTGAGTTTCAGAGTAGGTGCATTTGTTGACTTGAGCAAGGTCGTTGTGGCGATTGTCGACTTGCAACGCTGCGTCACCATCGCCACCGCCACTCTGCGTCCGCTCTTCGCTCTCGTAGAGAGAGAGGAAGTCAGGAGGAGGAACCACAGACGAGGAACGGCAGCAGCAGCAGCCAAAAAGCGCTGAGGAATCGGCGCTACGAACAATTGCCCAAGCTCTGCAGTCCTCTATATACGAAGGCGTTGTTGGCCACGTAATGAGTGTTTATACAAGTGGGAGGAGACCGGAGCACCCGGAGAAAGCCGACGCGTGCGAGGGAGTTTCACGTCAGCATCCGTGTGGTGATCCACCAACCCTCGCCGCTGCCTCCACAGCACTGGGTCACAGGCAGCCACGTGCAGCGGCGGAGCTGTGGGGCAGTGTCCTCCCCCCCCCCTGGGCAGTGCCCCCCCCCCTCTGACGGGCGGTGCCCCCCCTCTGACGGGCGGTGCCCCCCCTCTGATGGGCGGTGCCCCCCCCTCCCAGGCAGTGTCCTCCTCCCCCCCCCCCCCCAGGCGGTGCCCCCCCCCTCCCGGGCAGTGCCCCCCTCCCCCCCCCAGGCGGTGCCCCCCTCTGACAGGCGGTGCCCCCCCCTCCTCCCCGTCGCGAGGCGACCTCGTGCCCCCACCCCCACCCCGCCCCGCCATGAACGCCCCGGCGGGGAGGCTGCCCATGGGGTCGGCGAGAGGCGGCGAGGCTCCCCTGCCGGGCGAACAAGCAGAATCATCGTCGTCGTTTAAGTAATCAAATTGCCCCCCACCCCCCCACGCACGCACCCCAGACACGACCCCTACTGGCACGCTGCCCCCAGCGGGGTGGGGTTGGTCACGGCCCGTGTCCGCGCGTGCAGGGGGAGCGGTGGCGCAGCGGTCGACGCGTCTGCGCTCTGAACCCGGCGACCCGAGTTCGATTTCCGCTCACGGCCACCAACATCGGTGTCGAATATCTGGTCGGCTCGGCCTTAAATGAGTACCCGGTGCGGTGTGTAAACATTCGCACTTGGGGGGGTGGGGGCGGGAGAGACAAAGGTGGCCGTGCGTGGTGCTGGCCACCCACCCCCTCCTGTGCCGTGCCGGTCTTCACAGGTGTTCGCTTAACAGCACTTGCCCCAACAGTCTGGTACAGGCTATACGGGGGAGCTTTTCCCTTTGTTCTTGCCGCCGCAACCTCCACCCGACTTGGCACTGCCGCGCGAAATGCGAGCCCCCGTACGCATCGGAACAGAACGTACAGAGAGGGGCGGGGAGGTACGGGCAGGTATGGGGAGGTATGGAAGGTATGGGAGGTATGGGGAGGTACGGGGAGGTATGGGAAGGTACGGGGAGGTATGGGAAGGTACGGGGAGGTATGGGAAGGTACGGGGAGGTATGGGGAGGTATGGGAGGTATGGGGAGGTATGGGAGGTAAGGGGAGGTACGGGGAGGTATGGGGAGATACGGGGAGGTATGGGAAGGTACGGGGGAGGTATGGGAAGGTACGGGGAGGAGCGGGAAGGTACGGGGAGGTATGGGAGGTATGGGAAGGTACGGGGAGGTACGGGGAGGTACGGGGAGGAGCGGGGGAGGTAGTGGGAGCAGAACAGAGGGACATGGGGCAGAGCGAAGAAGTACGCGGCAGAGCGGGGAGGCATGGGGCAGAAGAGGGAGACGTGGGGCCGAGCGGGGTGGAGCGGGGAGCTGCGGGTAGGTGTGGGGAAGTATGGAGAGGTGTGGGCAGGAGTGGGGAGGTGTGGGCAGGAGTGGGGAGGTGTGGGCAGGAGTGGGGATGTGTGGGGAGGTGTGGGGAGGTGTGGGGAGGTGTGGGCAGGAGTGGGGATGTGTGGGGAGGAGTGGGGAGGTGTGGGGAGGAGTGGGCAGGTGTGGGGAGGAGTGGGCAGGTGTGGGGAGGAGTGGGCAGGAGTGGGGATGTGTGGGGAGGAGCTGGGATGTGTGGGGAGGAGCTGGGAGGTGTGGGGAGGAGCGGGGAGGTGTGGGGAGGAGTGGGGAGGTGTGGACAGGAGTGGGCAGGAGTGGGGAGGAGTGGGGAGGTGTGGGCAGGAGTGGGGAGGAGTGGGGAGCTGTGGCGAGGTGTGGTGAGGAGTGGGGAGGAGTGGGGAGGAGTGGGGAGGAGTGTGGAGGAGTGGGGAGGAGTGGGGAGGAGTGGAGAGGAGTGGGGAGGAGTGTGGAGGAGTGGGGAGGTGTGGTGAGGAGTGGGGAGGAGTGGGGAGGAGCGGGGAGGAGCGGGGAGGTGTGGGGAGGTGTGGGGAGGAGCGGGGAGGTGTGGGGAGGAGCGGGGAGGAGTGTGGAGGAGTGGGGAGGAGTGGGGAGGTGTGGGCAGGAGTGGGGAGGAGTGGGGAGGAGTGGGGAGGAGTGGAGAGGAGTGTGGAGGAGTGGGGAGGTGTGGGGAGGTGTGGTGAGGAGTGGGGAGGAGTGGGGAGGTTTGGGGAGGAGTGGGGAGGAGTGTGGAGGAGTGTGGAGGAGTGGGGAGGTGTGGGGAGGTGTGGGGAGGTGTGGGGAGGAGTGGGCAGGTGTGGGGAGGAGTGGGCAGGAGTGGGGATGTGTGGGGAGGAGCTGGGATGTGTGGGGAGGAGCTGGGAGGTGTGGGGAGGAGCGGGGAGGTGTGGGGAGGAGTGGGGAGGTGTGGACAGGAGTGGGCAGGAGTGGGGAGGAGTGGGGAGGTGTGGGCAGGAGTGGGGAGGAGTGGGGAGCTGTGGCGAGGTGTGGTGAGGAGTGGGGAGGTGTGGGGAGGAGTGGGGAGGAGTGTGGAGGAGTGTGGAGGAGTGGGGAGGAGTGGGGAGGAGTGGGGAGGAGTGGGGAGGAGTGGAGAGGAGTGGGGAGGAGTGTGGAGGAGTGGGGAGGTGTGGTGAGGAGTGGGGAGGAGTGGGGAGGAGCGGGGAGGAGCGGGGAGGTGTGGGGAGGTGTGGGGAGGAGCGGGGAGGTGTGGGGAGGAGCGGGGAGGAGTGTGGAGGAGTGGGGAGGAGTGGGGAGGTGTGGGCAGGAGTGGGGAGGAGTGGGGAGGAGTGGGGAGGAGTGGAGAGAAGTGTGGAGGAGTGGGGAGGTGTGGGGAGGTGTGGTGAGGAGTGGGGAGGAGTGGGGAGGTTTGGGGAGGAGTGGGGAGGAGTGTGGAGGAGTGTGGAGGAGTGGGGAGGTGTGGGGAGGTGTGGGGAGGAGTGGGGAGGAGTGGAGAGGTGTGGGGAGGAGTGGGGAGGAGTGTGGAGGAGTGTGGAGGAGTGGGGAGGAGTGTGGAGGAGTGGGGAGGTGTGGGGAGGAGTGGGGAGGAGTGGAGAGGAGTGGGGAGGTGTGGGGAGGAGTGTGGAGGTGTGGGGAGGTGTGGTGAGGAGTGGGGAGGAGTGGGGAGGTTTGGGAAGGAGTGGGGAGGAGTGTGGAGGAGTGTGGAGGAGTGGGGAGGTGTGGGGAGGAGTGGGGAGGAGTGGGGAGGAGTGGGGAGGAGTGTGGAGGAGTGGGGAGGTGTGGGGAGGAGTGGGGAGGAGTGGGGAGGAGTGGGGAGGTGTGGGGAGGAGTGGGGAGGAGTGTGGAGGAGTGGGGAGGTGTGGGGAGGAGTGGAGAGGAGTGGGGAGGTGTGGGGAGGAGTGTGGAGGAGTGTGGAGGAGTGGGGAGGAGTGTGGAGGAGTGGGGAGGAGTGGAGAGGAGTGGGGAGGAGTGTGGAGGAGTGGGGAGGAGTGGGGAGGTGTGGGGAGGAGTGTGGAGGAGTGGGGAGGAGTGGAGAGGAGTGGGGAGGAGTGTGGAGGAGTGGGGAGGAGTGGGGAGGTGTGGGGAGGAGTGGGGAGGAGTGGGGAGGCACGGGGCAGGACGTCCTCTATAAAACCCCGAGACCGCGGCTGCGCGCCCGTGGCGGTCGCTGTGCGGTGCGCGAGGTGAGCAGGGAACGGGAGGGAGGCGCTACCCCTACCCCTAACAATACCCCTAACAATACCCCTAACAATACCCCTAACAATACCCCTAACAATACCCCTAACAATACCCCTAACAATACCCCTATCTCTACCCCTAACAATACCCCTAACAATACCCCTAACAATACCCCTAACAATACCCCTATCGCTACCCCTAACAATACCCCTAACAATACCCCTAACAATACCCCTAACAATACCCCTAACAATACCCCTAACAATACCCCTATCGCTACCCCTAACAATACCCCTATCTCTACCCCTAACAATACCCCTAACAATACCCCTATCGCTACCCCTAACAATACCCCTAACAATACCCCTAACAATACCCCTAACAATACCCCTATCTCTACCCCTAACAATACCCCTAACAATACCCCTAACAATACCCCTAACAATACCCCTAACAATACTCCTAACAATACCCCTATCTCTACCCCTATCTCTACCCCTATCTCTACCCCTAACAATACCCCTATCTCTACCCCTAACAATACCCCTAACAATACCCCTAACAATACCCTTATCTCTATCCCTAACAATACCCCTAACAATACCCCTATCTCTACCCCTATCTCTACCCCTAACAATACCCCTATCGCTACCCCTATCTCTACCCCTAACAATACCCCTATCTCTAACCGCATTGCTACACTTAACACTACCCGTAACAATACCCCTATCTCTACCCCTATCTCTATCCCTAACACACTACCCTTAGTCTTAGGGATAGTGTGAGCAGTGGGGAGCACGCACCACATTATGATCCCGGCGACCCGAGTTCGATTCCTACTCACCAGCCAACACCAGTGACGATTATCTGAACTGGTCATGGGCCTCCCCTAGGTCGACTCAGCCTCAAATGAGTACCTGGTGCGGTGTGTAAACATCGCTACTGGAGTGATAAAGGTGGCGAGGCGTGGTGCTGGCCACCCACCCTCTCGTGTGCAGTGCCTGCCTTCATAGGTGCTCGCTAACAGCACTTGCCCCTTCAGCCTGTTAAGGCTACACGGGGAATCTTTGACTTTGTGGCATCGGTGATACTCGCTCACAGCACTTGCCCCAACAGTCTGTTAAGGCTATATGGGGAATCTTTGTCTTTGTGTGTGTGGCTGCGTGGACACGTGTGTGTGTGTGTGCGTTTTTATTGTGCTGGTCACCCACCCCCTCGTATGCCATGCCGGCCTCCATGGGTGCTACTCGCTAACAGCACTTGCCCCAACAGTCTGTTTAAGGCTAGACGGGGGAACTTTGTCTTTGTGTATACCAGGGGGTCGGCAACACGCGGTTACGGAGGCGCGTGCGGCTCTCTAAGGGCCGCCTCGTGACGTCTCGTCTTCACGTTGCATTGCAGCCCTTGAAATACTGAGCTCGGTTTTTGCCGCATTAAACAACCACACAATGTCTATTCTTGTTATTGCGGTGTCCCCGATCTCTGGTGTTGACCAACGTTACGGGGAGCGGCGGCGCAGCAGGGAGCGCCCTTGCGCTGAACCCCGGCGACGCGACTTCCGCGTGTGTGTGTGTGTGTACGTGCCACCCGAGTTCGATTCCCGCTCACAGCCGCCGACAGTCGCGACGATTATCCGAACCGGTCCAGGGCCTCCCTTGGGTCGACTCGGATTGAAGTGGGCACCTGGGTGCAGTGTGCAAACATCGGGACCGGGGAGACAAAGGCGGCCGGGAGAGGTGGTGGCCACACCAATCGCCCGTGTGCCATTGCGGCCTCGAGAGGTGCTGCTCGCCGACGGCGCTTGCCTCCGGGGGCCCCGGGCGGTCGCCCCGGCTCGCCGCACACTCGCGACGGCTCAGCTTGCCCCTAACAGTCTGGTGGAGGCCACTCGGGGATCTTCGTCTCTGTCTCGTGTGTCTGTGTGTCTCTGTGTGTCTGTGTGTCTGTGTGTCTCGTGTGTCTCGTGTGTCTGTGTGTCTGTGTGTCTCTGTCTCGCGTGTCTGTGTGTCTCTGTGTCTCTGTCTCGTGTGTCTGTGTCTGTGTGTCTCTGTCTCTGTCTCGTGTGTCTGTGTGTCTGTGTGTCTGTGTGTCTCTGTCTCGTGTGTCTGTGTGTCTCGTGTGTCTGTGTGTCTGTGTGTCTCGTGTGTCTGTGTGTCTGCGTGTCTCATGTGTCTGTGTGTCTGTGTGTCTCGGTGTCTGTGTGTCTCGGTGTCTGTGTGTCTGTGTATCTGTGTGTCTTGGTGTCTGTGTGTCTCTGTCTCGTGTGTCTGTGTGTCTGTGTGTCTGTGTGTCTCTGTCTCGTGTGTCTGTGTGTCTCGAGTGTCTGTGTGTCTCGGTGTCTGTGTGTCTCATGTGTCTGTGTGTCTGTGTGTCTCATGTGTCTGTGTGTCTGTGTGTCTCGGTGTCTGTGTGTCTGTGTGGACAGGACGCCGTTGACCGTGCGCCGCCACGCTGCCGAATGAGCGACGCTCACGGGCAGCATCAGGAGCAGCCAACGACACCGCGACCTCCTCTCGTGCGGTACGACAGCCCCCCATGCCTGCGCCCCCCCCCCCCCCCAATATCTCTGTTCCCATCCCACACCCCCTTTGAAGCACCCAACACAAACACAGCGCCCCCCCCCCCCAGTCACCCTCGATCAAATGTCGTCCTATACCCCTTGCTCCCTAATTGGCCCTACACCCTCCCCCCACCCCGCACCACCATTGCCACATCCACACTTACACTGTGAGAGCTCTTGTTACCCATTCAGCGTGTGTGTGTGTTTCTGCGTGCGTGTGTGTGTGTGATGTAGGGGAGCTGTGGTATAGCGGTTAGCGCACTGCACTACAAACCTGGCTACTTGAGTTCGATTCCCGCTCATGGCCAACACCGGTGACGATTATCTGAACCCGTTCCTGGGCCTCCCCTAGGTCGACTCAGCCTCAAATACCCAGTGCAGCATGTAAACATCGCCACTGGGGAGACAAAGGCGGTCGGGCGTGGTGCTGATCACCCACCCCCTCGTGTGCCGCGCCGGCCTTCATAGGTGCTACTCGCGAGCAGCACTTGCCCCTACAGTTTGTTACAGGCTATAGGGGGGATCTTTGCCTTTGATATTTGTGTCGTGCGACCACCAAAACTCAGCACCTGCCTGGGAATTTTGTACCATCGGACACTCCACCCCCACAACTCCCAATTGGTGATAGGGCAGTTGTGGAGAGAGTGGAGAGTTTCCCATACCTGTGCAGTGCGCTCATGACCTGCTCCAGTTTGGCAGCAGAGGTCTCACTCCTAATCAGCCGAGCGGCATTATATTTTCATCGGCTGCGTAACGCTGTGTGGAAGCTACCTGGTCTGTCGCTTCGCACCAAGCTTCGGGTCTTCTCGGCCACAGCCATGCCCTCCCGTCTCTATGCTTGAGAAACGTGGACCCCCCTAATGGAACATCTTCACCGGTTGGAAACATTTAGGCTGGCCTGCCTACAATTCATCTTGGGTTTAACCAGGCTGGATTGCGTGAGGAGCTCACAAATATTTGAAAGGTCCCATCGGTGAGCTCCTCCGGCAGGCAGGGGTACGTTGGCTGGGTCATGTAGCCCGTACGCCCAGTCACTGCATGCCTAAACAGATTTTGTTCTTCTTCTTTGGTTCTTTCGGTAAAGTCACGTAGAATCAGAATAAAATAATAAAATTAAATAAGACAATAAAATTCTCACGACGTTTCGGCCACAACACAAGTAGCCTTCTTCAGGTGAAAGAACAGAACTGTCGGGATGATAGAGCTTAAATGAACGCTGCTAAGATTCGCAGCGTCTTTTTAAGCTCGGTGAGAGGCGTGGAGAGCCTTGACAAAGGAGTTTACCTATCAAAGCAGGAGAATTTAGCATGGAAATAGCTGAGGGATTAGCTTGTGACAGAAATAGCTGTGTTAAAGTCAAAGTTTACATATCAACAGAGGCATTTGGTATATGGACGCTAAAGGCCTCCAACTACTAACTACCATAAAGTAAACCGATGTGAAAAAACTCAATCTATATTACATCAATATAATAAATGTACTTAATATATTCTTCAATAAGCTGAGCTATTAATCACAAAGCAACTGGGTATACACTACACTATATAATGAATACCGTATAGTAAACTAATAAAAACCAAAATATAAGCTCCCTCAATGTTATCAATAAACTCTATATACTCTCCATCAGCTGAGCCACCAACAATAAGTCGTTATATATCACAATGCCATATGGTGAAAAATGGTGGTTTTTTTCCCTTCCCCTCACGGTCAGCACCACGGACAGCGACGTTCAGGCGGACGAGTCAATCCATGCTCGGAACAGAGGAGGGGGGAGAGGGAAACAACTACAATGCGTTGTTATACTCCATGTTATAAACCATACCATTAACCGTGGTGTGAGAGGTATTAAGAGGCAATGCCAGCGAAAGAGCTGCGGTCTGACTGTCACCGTAAAATACAATTAATTAAGAACCGAAATGGTTTAAAAAACATCTTTCCAATGGTTACTAAGCCAGAATCCATCTTCTCGGTTGAAATTGTCTCTGTGCTTGTATATGTGGATGGCCTCATGAACGAATCTCTCATGGTAGCCAGTTGGCTTGCAAAGAATATCCGTCTTGGAGAAGTCAATGTCATGTGAACCCACTGAATTATAACAGTGATCTTCCAACGCAGAAGAATTCGTCCTACCGTGTTTCAAGTCTGCTTTATGTTCGTGGATGCGGTCAGAGATATGTTGTTTGGTTTCTCCAATGTAGTTGCTACCACAGAGACACTTTAGTTTGTAAACGCCTGGGTACTGTATGTCTGGAATAGCATCTTTTACAGATGGAACCAGATCACGGATTTTGTGTACTGTGTTGAATCGGACCTGGATCTTGTGTTTATTCAGGATTTTGGAGATCTTTTTAGTGACCCCTGCAATGTAGGGTAAGGTGATGGTTTTGAGTGGCTCCTCAAGAGGATCCTTCTTCATGACTGGAGTGATGGCTTTGCGGATTGTGTAGTCAGAGTAACCATTAGCCCTGAGAGCCTGGTGTATGTGCTTGAGTTCACTGGCAATGTGTTCCTGGTCGGAAATGCATTGGGCTCTATGGTATAGAGTCTTGATGAGAGAGTTCTTCTGGGATGGATGGTGGTGGGAATCCGGTTTCAAGTAAGCATATGTATGGGTAACTTTTCTGTAGACAGAATGGCTCATTAAACCATCATGTCTCCTTTTAATTAAGACATCCGAAAAGGGTAGCTTGCCATCTTTTTCGACCTCCATGGTAAATCTGATGGATGGGTGCATGGAATTGATGTGGTCGAGAAATTGGTCTAGAGCAGGCTGGCCATGTGGCCAGATGACAAAAGTGTCATCCACGTACCTCTTCCATAAGGTCGGGCATAGAGTGGCAGTCTGGATGGCGTCAGTTTCAAATGTTTCCATGAATACGTTGGCTACAACCGGAGACAGGGGGGAGCCCATTGGGGTGTCCTCAGTCTGTTTGTAGAAAGTTCCATTCCAGGTGAAGTATGTGTTGGTTAAGCAATGTCTCACCCGGGGGGGTACATTAGTATGCAGTCCTTGATGAACCAAGTCTTCAATGATTGCGATGGTGTCAGGTACCGGAACTTTGAATAAGGACACCACATCAAAACTGACAAGCAGGTCGTCTGGGGACAGGGAAATGCCTTTGATTGTCGATACCAGGTGAGTAGAATTTAGTACCGCAGAGGTGGTTTTTCCAGTGAAAGGTCGCAGTATATCAGCCAGAAAAGTGCCAGTTTATAGGTGGGGGAGTTGATAGTAGAGACAATGGGACGAAGGGGTGTATCTTCTTTGTGTATCTTTGGCAGGCCATATAATCTTGGTGGTCTGGCAGCAGAGGGTTTCAACGAGAACTGTTTGGTCTGATCAATTAATGCTGTTGAATCAGATATGATTTTGTTCGGTTTGGTAACCAGGCTGTTGGTGGGATCTCTCTTTATTTTTGTATAGCTGCCATCGTTGAGGAGTTCTTGATTTTGTTCGGCCGAACAGAGGGGGCTAAATAGGCGCGGCATAGGCTAGAGAAGAGATGGAGTGATGTACAGGAGGATGTGGAGCTGAGTGGACTTGCCGATGACTGGTACCAGCGGTGTCAAGATCGGCCTCTATGGAGGAGGCTGATGAAGGACGCTACTGCAGTTGGAGGCAGTCGCCCTCCAGCAACAACAGAGGGCAGAGGAGCGACGCTCACAACAATGAGTGGAATGCCGGGTGCCTAAAACACAGCAGGTTGGCACAGTAGGGGGGCACAGATGGTGCACCGGCCAGTCGTCTCAGTCAGTCGCCGCCGTGACCTCCTGCCAGCGGGCGTTCGACACTTCACGTGGCCTTAACGTGCACATAGTCTGACACAACAGCCGTGGTGACGTCACCGCCACTTAGTGGCGAATGGCGGTTGTTGTGTAGTGTCGCGGATAGCGTGCTGCGCTATGAACCTGGCGACCCGAGTTCGATTCCCACTCATGGCCAACACCGCTGACGATTGTCTACCGGTCCTGGGCCTCCCCTAGACTGACTCGGTCTCAAATGTGTACCTGGTGTGGTGTGTAAACATCGCCACTGGGGAGACAAAGGCGGCCAGGCGTGGCGATGATTGTCTGCAACGATTGCCCTGGGATTGCCCTTTTGGATCACGGCCTTGAATGAGATGAGCGAGTTGTTGCTGAGTGAGCTGTGAGCAAAGTTAATCAATGAGCCATTGCTTTGACTTCCTCACACACAGCAGCAAAAGCAGCGGTGGTTGTGTGGCCGCTGGAACCATGGAGTCCTCGCAAGTCGAAGGCCTGGACAAGGCCGCCGTCGCTGCCGAGACTCTCGCAGTCTCCAATGGGCCGCATCTGGGTGGTCGCCACGGAGACGGGGGTACCCACGAAGATGAAGGTCGCCACAGAGCCGCAGAGCACCTGGAGAGAGAGGAGCACCTGGAGAGAGAGGAGCACCCCAACGGCAGCGCCAGGTGAGAGTTTCACGACCACGGCGATTGCAATCCGTTTGCCAGTCGGCCACACCGCTCTCGCAATGCACAGTGGCCCAGTCACGCACACGGAGGGAGAGAAGACATCGTCATCACAGCCGATGATGCATCGCTCCGCCACTCCCGACGCAGCCGTCTTCCTCATCAACCGCCTCGTTGCAGAATGACAGCAGCTGCTGTTGCTCAACACCAACAGCAGCTGAACAAAGAGGAAGACCCGGCGAATCAATTATGAATCGCGAGCTTTTCAACAAACTCCCGCCGGTGTCAGGATCCTCTGTGTAACTCCGGCACCGGCACGGCCGGATCCTTCACGGGACGGGGGGACGGACACGACACCATGAGGCGTGGGGGAGGGGGTGGAGGGGATAGGTGTGCATGGGGGTAGGTGTTTGTTTTTGTAGGGGAGCGGTAGGGCAATGGTTTGCGTGCTGCACCACGAACCCCACGTCCCGAATTAGATTCCCGCTCATGGCCAACACCTGTGATGGTTATCTGAATCGGTCTTGGGCCTCCCCTAGGTTGACTCAGTCTCAGATGGAGTACCTGGTGCGGTGTGTAAAGGTCTCCACTGGGGAGACAAAGGCGGTCGGTCGTGGTGCTGGCCACCCACTGCCTCGTGCTGTGCCGGCCTACATAGATGCTTGCTAGCAGCACTTCCCCCAACAGTCTGTTAAAGGCTATACGGGGGATCTTTGTCTTTCTAGGTAGGTAGGTGGATGAGTGATTGCGTGGTAGGGGTCTAGGGGTAGGGCTAAGGGGGTAGGGCATTGGGGGTAAGGCTTGAGGGGGTAGGGGTGGTGGTGGGATATGTGGAAGGGGCAGGGCAGGTGTCACAGAGCTATGGGTCGGGTTGAACTCTGACCCTAGGCCCCCCCGCTCACCTGTAGTCGTGGGGGACAGGGGTGTGGATCCGGTGGGGTGTGTGGTGGTTTGTTTGTGTGGGGGCAGGGTGGATTGTTGCCATCGCTTTGCCGCTAGAACAGCAGGGAACCGGTTACACCTGCAGCACACTGACAGTGGCGCCAGCGGCTGGGAAAGGCACTCCAGGGGAGGGAGCATCGCCCGGGCACACAGCAACTACAACAACAGCTGCCGTTCCCCACTAAGTGGCGGTGACGTCATCACGGCGCTTGCGCCAGGTTAAGTGCACATTGAGGTCAAGTGAGGTGTCGAACGCCCGCTGTCAGGAGGTCACTGGACATACCAAGGTGCTATGGGTTTGACTGACTGAGATGACTGAGATGACTGAGATGAATGAGATGACTGAGATGACTGGCCGATGCACCACCTTTCCCGCACTCCTGTGCCAACTTGATGTGTTTTAGCCGCCCGCTGCTCCGCTCGTTGTTGTGAGCATTGCTCCTCTGTCCAGAAGCGTTCTTCATGAGCCTCCTCCACAGAGGCCAATCTTGACACCACTGGTACTGGTCATTGGCAATTCCACTCAGGTCTATGTCCTATTGTACCACATAATTCCATCTTTTCTCTAGCCTGTGCGTGCCCGTTAAGCCCTTTCTATCCGGCCGAACCAAAGCTATTTGGGCATGTTAGGGCTGGGCATGCGGGCTATTTGACCCAGCCAAACACAGCCTTGCCTGCCGGAGGAGCTCACCGGGGGAGCTCAGCACTGTGCCCAGACTTTCAAGGATTTGTGAGCTCCTTACACAATCCAGCCTGGTTGAACCCAGAATGGCTCGTAGGCAGGCCAGCCGGAATGTTTCGAACTGGCGAAGATGGTGAACAAACATATAGAAGGGAGGGCATGACTGTGGCCGAGAAGACCTGGAGCTTCGTGTGGACAGACCAGGTAGCTTCCACACGGCAGCCTTACGCAGCCGATGAAACAATAATGCCGCTCAACTGATTCAGAGTGAGACCTCTGCTGCCAAACAAGAGCTGGCCATAAGGACACTATCAAGGTATGGAAGCATCTCCACTTTCTCTACAACTGCTCCGCCAATGGGGAGCTGAGGGGGTGGAGTGTTTGATGACATAAAGTTCCCAGGCAGATGCTTAGTTTTGGAGGGGCTGATGGTAATGCCCCACCTCTTAGTGGCACGCTCCAGGTTCAGCAGCAGCACCTCCAACTCCTCCTCTTGAGTGAGCAGCAATCACCAGATCATCGGCATACATGATATGGTTGACCAATCGGGAGCCATCCCTCGACTGCACCCGGGCATCGATCAGCATCCCATTGTATCTTTACCAGATGGAGATTCCTCCAGTACAGTTGTAGTGAGTCCAACTCAACACAACATAACGTAACCTTCACTTGGGTGTTGAACACCCATCTAGCCACGCTACGGCAGAACTAGACACGGTCGAGCTGGGTCCCGGACCGCGTGGCTAGAGGCTTCTTTTCCCCGACGTGAATCTTCTTCACCAACAACCCGAAGAACCTCGTTATATCGTCCTGGGCTGGGGCTGGCTCCGCCCCGCCCACCTTCCAGATCTCTCGAGCTCTTTCTCGAAGGTTCCCGAGAGCTCTTTTAGACCACGTGACCGCCTAGCGGTCCCGGTCCACCGGTGGCCCCCCTCCAATATCATCTGGTCACGTGACAGCAGGTCAACCAGCGTATCATAACCCTGGCTGGCTGATGCTCCCTCTCGCTCCCTCACCGGGAGCCCGCACCGCACACTGCTCGTGGTGCCTCCGTGCTGACCAGCGCTCACCCAAGCCCCGCGAGGGCTGGTACTGCATCCCGTAACCCGGGCTGCCCATAATGACAACTCCTTACCCGCCGTGGCTTCGTAAGCCCGCACCACACAGTGACAGGCACAGTCACTACACATTCATGGAAAGCTTCTCGAACTACATGGTCGAAAATAATGTTGAATAATGTAAGGAGCCAGAGGACATCCCTTTCGCACCCCAAGGTGTAAGGCAATGGCTCTGACTCCTGGCCACGTAGTTTTACCTGGGTCTGCTCACCATCATGAAGGTCCTCAATGACTGTGAGCAGAGAGTCAGGGACTCCAAAAAGCACAAAGAACAACCCAGAGCCCAGGCCTACTGATGCAATCATAGGCCTGGCCGCGAGAGCCTGCGTGCAAATTACGTTGAACTTCTTTGGCACCGTACGTAGCCAACTGTGCTCATCGGAGGTGCGATTAACACCGGCGACGGCGTCGTAGCTGTCGGTGAATGCGTCACGCTTGGGCGGGCGAGTGGGCGGGCGGGCGGGTGGTGGGTCGGGCGAGTGGGCGGGCGGGCGGGTGGTGGGTCAGGCGAGTGGGCAAGCGAGGGTTTGTAACCGCGACGGTTATCCTAAGTCACGCTTGGGCGGGCGAGTTGTCCATCTCATCCCCGCCGCCGCCACCGCTCGTGTCACCGAGCGAAGCCGCCCGCTATGCTTGCGGCGCAGGGAGGCACTCGGCCACGCCGCGGCAATGCTGCCCCTCTGATTGGACAGAGGGGCAGCATGCATCTTAGTTTTGCCATGGTCTGCGCTGCTTCAACAGAGGAGCAGGAGGAGGAAGAGCGACACAAAGTCTCTCTCTGCTGAGGCTCTCTTTGTCTCTCTCGTCGTGACAGCAGCAGCATCAGATCTCGACATTGGCATCGAGATCCTGAACAGACGTAAGAAGAGAATAGTACTGTGGGCAATGTTAGTGTATGAGCAATGTTAGAGTATGGGCAATGTTAGTCTATGGGGAGTATAGGTCTATGGGCAATGTTAGTGTATGAGCAATGTTAGTCTATGGGGAGTATAGGTCTATTGGCAATGTTAGTCTATGGGGAGTATAGGTCTATGGGCACTGTTAGTCTATGGGAAGTATAGGTCTATGGGCAATGTTAGTCTATGGACCGAACGGTAAACCCACTGTTGTCTGCGCTCCTTGAGCGGAGGGAGAGCAGCGAAACGACACTCTCTCTCTGCTGAGGCTCTCTCTCTCATTATGACGAGCAGCAGCATCTGACCTCGACATTGGCTGGGTCACGTAGCCCGCAAGCTCGGGCACCGCCCGGCTAAGCAGCTTCTGTTTGGCTGGATCGAGGGGGCTAAACGGACGCGGTACGGGCTAGAGAAGAGATGGACTGATGTGGTACAGGAGGATGTGGACTTGCCGTGTCAAGATCGGCCTCTGTGGAGGAGGCTCGTGAAGGATGCTACGTGGCCATTGGAGGCAGTCGCCCTCCAACAAAAGCGGAGGGCGGAGGAGCGATGCTCAGCAGCAACACAGCAAGTTGACACAGTAGGGAGGGCAGGTGATGTATCTGGCAGTCATCTCAGTCAACCCGTGCCAGCGGTAGCCTCGCGTGGCACAAGCGCCGCGGTGACGTCACCACTACCTGTTGCTGTTGTTGTCTGCATCGGTTTCCTCCGACTTCTCCAGATTCCTCCCATAGCTTGACATAACCGGTAATTCCGATGCCATTAAAAAAAACATCACCTGCAAGTCACTCAATGGGGATCGCAGACGAGGCGACGCAGTGGCTAGGAGTTAACTCCCTTGCCTGGTATGCAGGAGGTCGTGGGTTCGATCCCGACCCAGACGCCTGCTGCTGTATATTTGGAGTTTGTGTCTCTTTCTCTCCCCGTGGTCGCATGGATTTTTTCCACGCGACCTCCGATTCTTCCCTCCGCATTTAGAATCAATGTCACGAGTTCAGAGTATTCGGCCGCGTGATGACGATGAGCCCACTTCGTTGGGCTGACTCGTGATGGCCGGGTGGCTTCTGACAAAAATAGCTACGCAGCTCAGCGGCGGGGCCTCACCTGGCAAAAGAAAAAAATAGTTTCTCGTTTTTATTTGGTATCGCGGCAGCAGCAGCGGTGGCATCCCCCCCTCCCCCCCCCGTTACGACCGCTTGGCACGACCCTCCTTCGGCAGAGGACAATCACAATGACGACGACGATAATAATAATAATAATAATGAAATAAAACGCTCGTAACTAAATCTGCGACGACACCAAAATAAGCGCAAGAGGAGAATGTCATCTTGGTGGCGATTGTCGCCGCTCGCGTCCCGAGGGAGTGCCCCCCACCTCGTCGCTACCTCCTCCCCCCTCCCCACCCACCCCTCTTGGTCCCTCCTCCCTCGCCTCCTCCTCGTCGCTCACTCACTCAGCCATGCAGAGCAAGGGGGTTACAGACGGTTAACATAACAATAACAACGATGACGACCACAACAACCACCGCAACCACTACAACCAGAACAACCACTACAACCACCACAACCACAACAACCACCACAACCATCACAATCAGAACAACCACAACCACCACCACAACCAGCACAACCACCACAACCACCACAACCATCACAATCAGAACAACCACAACAACCACCACCACAACCACTATAACCACCACAACCATCACAATCAGAACAACCACCAGAACAACCACCACAACCACCAGAACAACCACCACAACCAGAACAATCACCACAACCACCACAACCAGAACAATCACCACAACCACCACAACCAGAACAACCACCACAACCAGAACAACCACCACAACCAGAACAACAACCACAACCACCACAACAACCACAACAACCACCACAACAACCAAAACAATCACCACAATCACCACAACCACCACAACCACAACAACCACCACAACCAGAACAACCACCACAACCAGAACCACCACAACCACCACAACCAGAACCACCACAACCACAACAGCCACCACAACTACAACAACCACCACAACCACAACAACCACCACATCCAGAACCACCACAACCAGAACAACCACAACAACCACAGCAACCACCACAACCAGAACAACCAAGTCTCTAGGGGCTTTTCAAGATGGTCCTGCCAAGTCTTCACAGGAGGGGCGTGGGTTGTGATGCTGCTGCTGCTGCTGCAACATTGCGAGTGGGAATCAAACTCGGGTCACCGGGTTTGTAGCGCTTCGCGCTAAACAGTTCCCCTGTCGCTCCCCACACAAAGACAAAGAATCCCCAGGTTGCCCTAACAGTGCTGTTAGCGAGCACCTATGAAGGCCGGCCACGGTACCCATAGGGGTGGGCGGCCAGCACCACGCCCTAGTAACGATGTTTACACACCGCACCAGGTACTCATTTGAGGCTGAGTCGACCGGATCAGATATTCGTCACCTATGTTGGCCGTGAGCGGGAATGGAACTCGGGTTTACCGGATTTGTATTGCAGCTTAGCGCTAACCGTTCAACTACTGCTCCACACATACACACATTCGCCACTAAGCGGCGGTGACATCACCATGGCACTTGTGCCAGGCTAGGTGCACTTTGAGGCCACGTGAAGGCTCGCTGGCAGGAGGTCGCCGGCAGGAGATGACTGGCCGATGCACCGCCTGTGCTCCCCACAGTGCCAACTTGCTGTGTTTTAGCCGCCCAGCGCTCCGCTTGTTGTTATGAGCATCGCTCCTCTGCCCTCCGTTGTTGGAGGGCGACTGCCTCCAACTGCCCAGTAGCGTCCTTCATGAGCCTCCTCCTCCACAGAGGTTGATCTTGACACCGCTGGCACCAGTCCTCGGAAAGCCCACTCAGCTCCACGTCCTCCTGTCCCGCATCAGTTAATCTCTTCTCTAGCCCGTGCCACATCTGTTTAGCCCCTTCTATCCGGCCAAGCAGAAGCTGCTTGGGCATGGTGTGGATGGGCATGCGGGCTACATTACCCAGTCAACGCAGCCTCGTTTGCCAACTCACACTCATATGCTCAGACTTGTACACTCACAACAATGACAAAGATCCCATATAGAGCCTTAACAGACTGTGGGGGAAAGGGCTGTTAGCGAGCACCTTTGAAGGCCGGCCTGGCACACGTGGGGGTGGTTGGCCAACACCACGCCCGGTCACCTTTGTCTCCCCAGTAGTGATGTTTACACTCCGTACCAGGTATTATTTTGAGGCTGAGTCGACCTAGGGGAAGCCCATGACCAGTTCAGATCACTGGGGTTGGCCGTGAGCAGGAATTTAACTCGGGTTGCTGGTTTTGGAGCGCAGCGCGCTACCCGCTACACTACCCCACGCTCACACGATCACACCTCCGATTAGCACGGTTGGCTATGTACGGTGCAAAAGAAGTTCAGCATAGACGCGCTCACATGCTCCGCCTCTGTGCTGCCACACTGTCCCCGCAGGGTGGAGCTCCCAGATCGCTCGTTGGACGACGTCGAGTCGCTCCCCCTGAGCGTGGAGCACTTCCACCGGGACGCCCCCCACACCCACCCGGAGCAGCGCTCACCTCCCGCTGCTCCTGCCGCTCCTTCTCCTCCTGCTGCTCCTACTGCTGCTGCCCCTGCTGCTGCCGCTCCTACTGCTGCTCCTGCCGCTACTCCTGCTGCTGCTGTTGCTGCTGCTCCTACTGCTGCTCCTCTTGCCGCTACTACTGTTGCTCCTCCTGCCCCTCCTCCTGCTGCTGCTGCCCCTGCTGCTGCCGCTCCTACTGCTGCTCCTGCCGCTACTGCTACTCCTGCTGCTGCTGCCGCTATTGCTGTTGCTCCTCCTGCCCCTGCTCCTGCTGCTGCCCCTGCTGCTACTGCTGCTATTCCTGCTGCTCCTGCTGCTGCTGCTGCTCCTGCTGCTGCTCCTCCTGCTGCAGAGGCAGCCCCCTCTGTCTCCGCAGAGGCCTGCGCCGGGGCCCAGGCTGGGGACCCCGAGAGGATCCTCTCGCTTCCAGGTGACCGGCACAGGCCACCGCTTTTCCACACGCGCGTGTGTGCATGTGTAATGTGTGCGTGTGTATGTGTAATGCGCGCGTGTGTGCATGTGTAACGTGCGTGCGTGTGTGCATGTGTTACGTGTGTGTGTATGTCCATGTCTAATGCGTGCGTGTGTAACGGGTGTGTGTGTAATATGTGCATGCGTGCATGTGTAATGCGTGCGTGTGTAATGCACGCGTGTGTGCACGTGTAGTGACTGAATCGGAGACAGTAAGAGTTGGAGGCACTCTGTTTATTAACACGCACCAACGGGTTAACACTTCCAATTAATCCGTCTATAGTCGACTAGGGTTCCCAGTCAGGACAGCTGGTAAGCTGGCTCGCTGGCGACGCCAAGATGGTGAAGACGGGGACGACGACGAAGACTCCAGCAGCACGACGGGGATCCCACTCCAAACGACAGCCCCGAGGTCCCCTCTCGGGCCCGCTCTTATACTGTCAGCGTGACCTGGCTCTGCCCCCGGCCACGCCCCCTTTCTGGAACCTACCAGCGGGTTCTTGGTGTGCCCCTTCTTTGACCTTTCCCCTAGATCTCCCTCTGGTGTATCATGTGGCCTGCTGACCTCAGGGCTGCTGTAAGCTGCAGATCCCCTTCCCCGCCAGCAGCCAGCGCGATGCTGCTACGTAGCCTATTCTATGTCACTACACATGTGTAACACGAGCGTGTGTAATGCGTGCATGTGTGCATGTGTAACGCGAGCATGTGTGGATGTGTAACACGAGCGTGTGTAATGCGTGCATGTGTGCATGTGTAATGCATGCATTTCTGCATGTGTAACACGAGCGTGTGTAATGCGTGCGAGTGTAATGTGTTCATGCGTTCATGTGTGTATGTGTAGTGACTGTGATTGTCACTGTGTGGTGCCGGGCTTACGAAGCCAAGGCGGATGATGTGTTGACATTATGTTTAGCCCGCTTACAGGGCGTAGTACCAGCCCTAGCGGGGCTTGGGTGAGCGCGGAGGCACCGCGAGCAGTGTGCGGTGCGGGCTCCCGGCGAGGGAGCGAGAGGGAGCGTCAGCCAGCCAGGTTTACATTGGGGCATGATACGCTGGTTGACCTGCTGACACGTGACCGGATGATATTGGAGGCGGGCCACCGGTGGACGGGGGCTGCTGGGCGGTCACGTGGTCTAAAAGAGCTCTCGGGAGCCTTCGAGAAGGAGCTCGAGAGACCTGGAAGGTGGGCTGGGCGAAGGGCGGATCCAGCCCCAGCCCCAGCCCAAGCCGATATAACGAGGGCTCCGTGAGGAGCTCGAGGTTCTTCGTGTGCTGGTGTGAAGAAGATCCACGTCGGGGAGAAGAAGCCTCTAGCCACGTGGTCCGAGACCCAGCTCGTGGTCCGGACCGGGATAGCGAACCGTGTCTAGTTCTGCCCTAGCGTGGTTAGATGGGCATTCCATACCCGAGTGTAGATTGTGCGATGTTATGTGGAAGTTGCTAAATAAATAGTGTTGCTACCAAGACAACGTCTGCGACTACAACTGGTGTCGGAAGTGGCCAACTTGCTAAACTGTAGCTAGCGGTAGACGAGTTATGTCTACGCGTCGCAGAGTTCGTGTACGGGCGTCGGATGACGAAGACAACGAGGAGCTGATTCCGCCCACGGCCGCCGAGGATGGGGCGGAGGCGCTGCCGGTGGAGCAGGGTGCAGTCGGGGCACCGGGCGCCTCGCCTTCACTGGAGGAGCTCGTAAGGGACGCGCACGGCCATCTTACTGACCTCCAAGCGGCGTCCTCCATCTTCGTCTCGTCGAGATGCGGTCCCTGCCCTTGACGGCGAAGGAGGGAGCGGCGGAGCTGTCCGGACGGGGCGACTCGGCCGCCATTTCACAGAAGGCTAGAACGCCATCATGAACGCCATCGTGAACGCCATCGTGAATGCCATCGCCGCTGCCCGCGCTCGCGGGCGCCATTTTGCCGCCGGCGGGGAGCGCTGAGTACGCCAAGCTTGAAACGGGGACGTCCTCGTCGATGGACGTCCAGTCGCTCTGCCGTCGGCTGCCCTTAATTAAAGAATTTGTTGCTGCCAGCGGCGATTGGGTGGCATTTAAGCGGCGATTTCTCACAAATGCCGACTTGGCAGGATGGTCAGAAGCCGACGCGCTGAAGGCGCTTCCCGCCGCCCTCGACGATGATACTTTAGCGGCGTTCCTCACCATCCCGCTGTCCGAGAGGTCCACTCTCATGCACGCGTCTGACCAGATGGCCGCTGTTTTTGATCCTCCGCTGAACACCCGTCAGAAGGGGATGGTCAGTCGGCTCTCGCCTACAGAAGTGTGCCCTTGGCGCTGGCAAAGATCACGATGGCCTTGACGCCTTGGTCCTCGAGAAGATGTTGGGACTCGCAAAGGATCTCCGTACTGTGCATCCCGCCGAGGACAGGGAGGCGTCTTCGTTCAAGATCGCCAGGTGCATACAGGCGCAGCAGAGCCTGCAACGTGACAGAGTGTTGGTGGTGTGCTCCGCATCTTCCGCGGAGCCCGGGGCCCATGCGGACGAGGAGCCTGGTTCCGCGTGCTCGCCGCATCAGCGGAGCGGCGATTGTCGGGGTGATGGAGATCGGCGGTGGGACGACCGGCGGCAGGCGAGGTCTGCTTCGTCCCAGTCCAGCAGCGGACGGGTCACCGGCTACTATTGCGGCCAGCCGGGGCGCATCCAGTCGGGCTGCTTGGTTCCTCGATGGCGGTCCCCGGGACGTCCGCCTTCCTACGCATCTCTGCTCTCTAAGGCGAGTCGTGGCGCAGCTCACACTCGGGCCCGGGGTTCACTTCACCCATCAGGGGGGGTCCGATTTGCGTCGTGGTCGCGCACGGGTTCGGGAGGAGTCGGTGCTTGTTCGCGACGCGTGGCCGCTCTGACCAGACCAGTGATCGGAGTTTGCTCATCGTGTGGTCGCGGAGACCGCGAGTTCGTCGGCCGTGCTTGGGTTCGTTGAGGGGGTTGAAGTTCGCATGCTTGTTGACACCGGCGCGTCTTCAACCATTATTTCCAAACTAATTTACAACGTTTTGCCCCCCTGGTTTTGGAGCCGCTGGATGCTCCGTGTTTTGCCGCCAACGGCGGATCATTGTGGATAATTGGTCGGATTTCTGTTGCGTTGCGCATTGCCGATCTCTCATTGTCGGGCCATATTTTGGTTTCTACGGCCCTGGCTGTCCCGTGCTTGCTGGGGACTGAAGATTTGTATCGACCAGGGCTGTTTGGAATTGCCGTCGGGACGGCGTATGGCATTTCTTCCGTCTCCGACGGCTCAGACGCTAGTCTCCAGGGACCAGGCACCGTTTATTCAAGTCCTTAATGCCGGGTCGGACACTACGGTCAATCAGGAGGGTTCTGTGATCGCTCGCGCGTCTCCGGCGTGTCCGGAGGCGGATGTCGTGGGGAATGTCGGGGTCGGCGTTCGGTCTCACGGACCCAAGGATGTGGATGGATGGACAAGCTGTGCTCGGAATGCGGCGATTTATCCGCGGGACAAATGGGGAAGCTGAGAGCGCTCCTGCGGGAGTTTTTGGACATTTTTAGTAAAAGTAAATTTGATATCGGTCGCACGGCCCTGTTGAGTCGCCATATTGACACGGGAAATGCCGCCCCCATTCGGCAGAATCCTTACCGCCTGAGTCCGGCCGAAAAGGAACACGTTCGTGCGGCGGTGGATGAAATGTTGGCCGCGGATATCATCTCGCCGTCCACTAGTCCATGGGGTGCTCCGATCGTCCTTGCTAAGAAGCACGACGGCAGTCTGCGTTTTTGTGTCGATTTACGAAAACTTTACAAAATTTCTGTCGCGCATGCATGCCTCTTGCCTCGGGGTTCACGTCTATAGCTAAACTTCTCCACGCCCTGACAGCGAAGGGCCTAAAATCTCATTGGGGGGAGTAGGAGGAGGCTGCGTTCCGCTCTTTTCGTGTTAGGTTTGTTAACGCCCCTCCACTTCGTTATCCCGATTTTTCGTTGCCTTTCATTTTTGGCATGGACGCCAGTAATACCGGCATTGGTGCGGTGTTATCCCAAGTCGTAAATGGCGTGGAGCACGTGGTTGCGTATGGCAGCAGGGTGCTGTCTCCGGCTGAGCAGCGGTACTACGTAACGCGCCGGGAACTGTTGGCAATTGTGGTTTTTGTGCGACAATATCGCCGACACTTCGAGGTGCGTTCCGATCATGCGGCGCTCCAAGACGCACTGCGTGTGGACCAGCCCTCCGGTCAATTGTCACGCTGGCTATAAATCATGTCCCGTACCGTAAGGGTTCTCGCCACACGAACGCCAATGCCCTATCGCGATTGGCAGTGCCCGGAGAGTGTGCTTGTTTTTGGGTTCGGGTCGTTGTCGAACGGCCGGCTCGACCTCCCCCTCTCGTTGCGTCTGCCGCAGACACGATGGGAGGGACGGGCAACGTCCTTGTTGCACGGGATGCAACTTTGGGGCTGGACTACGAGGTGTGGGGACGCCGGCAGGCAGAGGACGCGTCCCTCCTTAAGTTGCGTCGGCGTGTCAGGGAGACCGCCGATGGCACGGCTCCGCGGGGTGGTGACTCGTTTGTCCTGCGGGGCGGGCTGCTCATGTCCTGGGACGAGAGATTGCGCCGTTATACTATTGTTGTCCCTACCGCCCTGCGTGGCGAGGTTGTGTGGGCTGTGCATAAACGGTTGCTGCACCTCGGAGTGCAGAAGACACTGGCTGCTCTTAAATTGGATTTTTATTGGCCGGCCATGGCCTCCGACGTAGAGGATCTGCTTGTGCAACGTGCCCAGCGGAAGCCGCCAGCGAGATCCTGTTGCCCTCCGCTGCAATCCATCCAGGTGTCACGGGTAATGAAATTGTTGCCGCTCGTGTCGGCCCCGCGTGCTCTGGACGGCAAGGACCCGACGACCCTGCCTACTGCTCTTGGTGAGGAGCCGGCTTCGGTTTCTTGTTCCCCCCGGCCCTCCCAGGGCGGTCGAGCCCAACCCGCATGGAACACCGGCGTCATGGACTCGTTCAAAGACTCGATTTGCGTGATCCCCGCGCATTGCACACTCCCACGCCGTCATGGGCTGTCGCACCCACATGAGTCGTGGCGAGTATTTGGCTGATCCTGCTCGCCATCGAGCTCACGGGCGTTGTTAGACGTTGTGGGAGGGAGATGTTGATTGTGGGGATCTCGTGCGACGCAATTGTTGGGTCGTTCGTTTTTTTTCTTTTTTCGGTGTGTATATATATTGTACAGTTGGGTTGGGTAATTTATTGCGTTGTTCTTTTTTTTGGAGCACACTTGTTATGTTCTGTGTAATTGTACGCCGGTTGCTTACTTGGGGGGGAGTTGGCAGCCGGGACGGCTAGAAGCTACTGAGGGGGGGGGGGGGGGGGGGGGGGTGGGTGATGGGGTGATGTAGTGACTGTGATTGCCACTGCGTGGTGTCGGGCTTACGAAGCCACGGCGGATAATATGTTGTCATTACGGGCAGTCCGGGTTACAGGGTGTAGTACCACCAGCCCTAGCGGGGCTTGGGTAAGCGCTGGTCAGCGCGGAGGCACCGCGAGCAGTGTGCGGTGCAGGCTCCCGGCGAGGGAGCGAGAGGGAGCGTCATCCAGCCAGGGTTACGTTGGGGCATGATACGCCGGTTGACCTGCTGACACGTGACCGGATGATGTTGGACGGTGGCCACCGGAGGACGGGAGCCGCTGGGCGGTCACGTGGTCTAAAAGAGCTCTCGGGAACCTTCGAGAAAGAGCTCGAGAGACCTGGAAGGTGGACGGGGCGGAGCCAGCCCCAGCCCCAGCCCAGGCCGATATAACGAGGGCCCCGTGAGGAGCTCGAGGTTCTTCGTGTGCTGGTGTGAAGAAGATCCACGTCGGGGAGAAGAAGCCTCTAGCCACGTGGTCCGGGACCCAGCTCGTGGTCCGGACCGGGATAGCGAACCGTGTCTAGTTCTGCCGTAGCGTGGTTAGATGGGCGTTCCATACCCGAGTGTAGATTGTGCGATGTTATGTGGAAGTTGCTAAATAAATAGTGTTGCTCCCAAGACAACGTCTGCGACTCAGTTGGACTCGCTACATATGTGTAACACGAGCATGTGTAACGCGAGCGTGTGTAATGCGGGCATGTGTAACGCGTGCGTGTGTGCATGTGTAATGCGGTCCTCCATGAATAATGAACAAAAAAGGTTGAGTGTATTTGCTTAGGGGTTTCCAGGTTGGGACGATTACCCAGATGCACCCTCCCGGGTCCGTCGCCCGTGTCTGTGTGTCTGTGTGTTTGTGTGTGTGTCTGTCTGTGTGTGTCTGTGTGTGTCTGCGTGTCTGTGTGTTTGTGTGTGTGTCTGTGTGTGTCTGCGGGTTGCTGAGGAGATGGAGTCTGCCTCAGTGGCTCGCGATCACAAATCGTTCTTTAATTCCGTAAAAAAGTAACCTCCAGCGCCACACCTATTACCATCATTAGGGGAAAGAACGTTGATCCAATCTTTGACCCTCAGGGACAGGTTTGCAGATTTGCTGAGCATTTCTGTGAGGTCCTGGGGGAGGGGGGAAGTCCCTCAGCCAGGAAAACAACGTGGGACAAAGCGGGGATGACCCTGCTGAGGCTGTGGTGCCTCAAATATTGAGGTGCCATCTGTTGAGGAAGTACTGAAGGCGATCCAGAGTCTGAGACCAGGAAAGGCACCGGGCAGAGATGATCTCCCAAGCAAAATGCTGAGGGAGGGTGGCGTTTGTGCACAGACTGCCCTACATGACATCATAACAACAGTTTGGACTGCTGGACGGGTTCCGCAGGATTGGAAGGATGCCCTGGTGGTCCCCTTCTTTAAGAAGGAGGACCGCCCAGACTAACAACTACAGGGGCATCTCGCTCCTCAGTGTGCCGGGAAAGGTCCTGGCAAGGATTATTCAACATCGCCTTGCCAGACACGCTGAGGAAAGGCTTGCGGAGCCCCAATGTGGTTTCAGGAAAGGGCGGTCCTGCACAGATGACATTTTCTGTCCGTCTGCTCCAGCAGAGGTGTATGGAATTTCAACAACACCTACATCTCTGCTTTATTGACCTGGTCAAGGCCTATGATACCATCAGTAGGCCTGGGCTCTGGGTTGTTCTTCATGCTTTCGGAGTCCCTGACCCTCTGCTCATGATCATTAAGGACCCTTCATGATGGTGAGCAGGCCCGGGTAAAACTATGTGGCCGGGAGTCAGAGCCATTGCCTTACACCTTGGGGTGCGACAGGGATGTCCTCTAGCTCCGACATTATTTAACATCTATTTTGACCACGTAGTTCGTGAAGCCTTCAATAGCTGTCCCGGAGGATTTTACATCTGGTTAAGATACAATGGGAGGCTGATCGATGCCCGGGTGCGGTCAAGAGATGGCTCCCTATTGCTCAACCATGTTGAGCAACCATGTTGATATGCCGATGATCTGGTAATTGCTGCTCACTCAGAGGAGGAGTTGGAGGCGCTGCTGCTGAACCTGGAGCTTGCCACCAAGAGGTGGGGCCTTACCATCAGCCCCATCAAAACTAAGCACCTGACTGGGTATTTTGTACCATCGGACACTGAAATCCCACAACTCCCAATTGGTGATAGGGCAGTTGTGGAGAGAGTGGAGAGTTTTCCATACCTTGGCAGTATGCTCATGACCGGCTCCGGTTTAACAGCAGAGGTCTCACTCCAAATCAGTCGAGCGGCATTATCTTTTCATCGGTTGCGTAACGCTGTGTGGAAGCTACCTGGTCTATCGCTCCGCACAAAGCTTCAGGTCTTCTCGGCCACAGTCATTCCCTCCCTTCTCTACGCTTGCGAAACGTGGACCCCCCCTAATGGAACATCTTCGCCGGTTAGAAACATTTGGCTGGCCTGCCTACGATCCATCCTGGGTTTAACCAGGCTGGATTGTGTGAGGAGCTCACAAATCCTTGAAAGATGTGGACAAAGTCCCATCGGTGAGCTCCTCCAGCAGGCAAGGCTGGGTTGGCTGGGTCATATAGCCCGCATGCCCAGCTACCCGTGGCATCTGGGTCTGCCCCGTGACCTCCTGCCAGCGGGCGTTCGACACTTCACGTGGCCTCAAGCTGCACATAGCCTGGCACAAGCGTCGTGGTGACGTCACCGCCACTTAGTGGCGAATGGCGGTTGTGTGTCTGTGTGCATAAATGCCACGTGTTATGGCTATTAAAATCTCAGGGGTGTTATACGGTTAGTTGTACTGCTACAGGCAGTTTATACTTTGAGGTTACGTTGATTGTATATAGCGACCTGTGGTTGACACGCAGTGGAAGGTGGCGCTTCCCCCACTGTTAGAGAGCGGCCTGCGCAAGCGGATATCACAGAGCTCTGAGATCCCTTCCTCACCGCAGGGGGCGGCACTATCACACCCTCTCAGTGACGGTGCCTCCCCCCCCCCCCTCCTCTCCCCAGGCCGCGACGACGACGCGATGGCCCCGGCGAGCACCATGAGCACGAGCAGCCGCGACGGCGCCGTGCTGCTGCGCATGGAGCCGAGCGGGCCCGGCTCGGAGCCGCCCCTCACGGTGCACGCCCTGCTGGAGCGCGCCGCCCGCCGCCACGGGGAGCGCCTGGCGCTGGCCGCCAACGCCACGGACGGCGGCGACGGCGCCGCTCGCCGGCGCACGTTGTCCTGGGAGCGCTACTACCGCGAGTGTCGCCACGCCGCCAAGGCCTTCCTGCAGGTGCCACGGCGCCCGCCCACTGACGCGACGGAAACCCCTCCGGTCTTGGCGATGTTCCGTTCCGCCCGGTCCCGTTACCATTCCACCCCGTGCCTCCCCGTCCCTCCCCGTCCCGCTCTGTTCCTGCCCGTCCCGTTCCGTTCCACCCCATCCCATTCTGCCCCATCTCGCCCCGTTCTGCCCCTGTTCCGCCCCGCTCCCCCGTGTAGCCGTAACAAACACTTGAGGCAAGTGCCGTTCGCAAGCACCGACGAAGGGTGGCACCGGCACCGGCACACGGGGGAGTGGGCGGTCGGCACACTCCCTCGTCTCCACCCCCAGCCAGTGCTAATGTTTACACACCGCAGCAGATCACTTGAAGTAAATTCAGTCAAATATTTCCCTTGCTTTAAAGCTTTCGTGACTGCAAGGATTCATCTTCTTTGGTTCTTTCGGTGAAGTCACGTAGAATGAGAATAAAACAATAAAAGAACACAATAAAATTCACCTGAAGACGGCCGCTTGCGTTGTGGCCGAAACGTCGTGAGAATTTTATTGTGTTATTTTATTCTTTTATTCTCATTCTACTTGACTTTACCGAAAGAACCAAAGAAGATTTCCCTTGCTGTGAATGACGTCTCCGCTGTTGAAGCCGTCTTCGGGGCGTAGAGTGTTATGGTGTTGTAGTTGTTGATAAAGTTGTTACTGTTGTTGTTGATGATATTGTAGTTAGTTGTTGATAAAGTTGTTACTGTTGTTGTTGTTGATGCCGTTGTAGTTGTTGATGAAGTTGATGTTGTAGTTGGTTGATGTTGTTAATATTGTTGATATTATAGTTAATGTTGTTGATGTTGTGGCAAGGTCGTAATTGTAATATATATTGGGGGCGACACATCCCCCCCAATAATCAAATATGCTCAAAATGCCCCCCCCCCCCAATATATTGCTATAAAAATATTTTTAAGAATAAGAATTGCAATGCTATGTAAATAAAAACAACAATTTGCTAGACCTTGGCCACAATAACAATGCATCGATTTCTGTTTATATGATTGTGGTTATGGTTATGAATCCCTAATCTCTGCCATTACATACAATGAAACAAGAAAATGTAAAAAATGAAAAACAGAGCAATGTACTACAATACACTAGTAGACATTATTGTTAAAAGTAAATGAAAAGTCCATCCCATGTGTTAGTGAATATTTTTATATTTTAGGCAGGAAATGGCAGGAAGATTTGGTGCCCCCCAATGTTGACTCCATGGCTACGGCCTTGTGTTGTGGATATAGTTGTTATTACTGTTGTTAATGTTATTGTAGTTGTTGTTGATTTTGTTACTGTTGTTGATGTAGTTGTTGTTGATGTGAAAGTTGTTACTGTTGTTGTTGATGTTATTGTAGTTGATGTTGTAACTGTTGTTGATGTTATTGTAGTTGGTTCATATTGTTGTTGTTGATGTTGTGGATATAGTTGTTGTTGATGTGAAAGTTGTTACTGTTGTTGATGTTACTGTAGTTGTTGTTGATGTTGTTGATGTTATTGTTGATGTTATTGTAGTTGGTTCATGTTGTTGATGTTGTTGATATAGTTGTTACTGTTATAGTTGTTGTTGTTGATGTTGTTGATGTTATTGTTGATGTTAT